AGAGAATGTGTAATTTATAGAGACTCGAAGACAAGAATGATCTTTGGGTATTAAAGCATAATTAAAATTGCGAGTCCAAGAAATAGGAAAGTCTGATCGTTGGTACATATATAGGTTATGAATATAGCAAAGTATCCGGGCATTGTATTTTATTGGAAATAAATCCCAAGATTTGGAGATATTATTTGAAACAGTACGCGCACAAGATCATCAAAATTTTTTGAACAAGCTAGGTTACGAATGTATCAATAATTCCAATCATTTATTTTTCTTGGAAATAAATCCAACCATTTAATGACATTATTTGAAACAACACATGCACGAAGGTTTTCATGATCAACAAAATTATTTTATTTTATTTTTTTCTAAAAAGGAGGACAACTTGTGGTAAGTCACAATTATTCATCATTTCCTGACCCGTAGAGGCTATGGGGAATTTTACCCTGCCCTTGGCCAGGGTCAAGCAGACTCACCAGCTCAAAGCATCGAACCTGGGACCTCCCACATTTTTTTGTTTATTTGGGAGCTGCAGTCTGCGCCCTTACCACTAGACCACTTACTGTGGTTGTGATCAACAAAATTATTTGGTTGACAAAAATAAAAATAAAAATAAATAGTATGCGTCTCTGTATTTCAATGAAAAAAATGAGAATTTTAAATACTCCTATCCGAGCATAAAATATCGAACTCAAGGTTAGGCTGAAACATTGAGCATTACATAAAATGCTAAGATGGGAGTATTTAAAAGTATCTATGTTTCAACAAAAAATTTATTGTTTGCTAAAAAAAAAAAAGAATTTTAAATACTCCCATCCTACCACAAAATTTTAAATACTCCCCTATTCTTCTCCATTCCATTTCACTGAAACTCTAACCCTAGGAATGGCTGCCTAAACCTTACTCCCTCCAACGAAAGCCTTTTCTCTTTTAAACCCAGACTTTCTTTGTTTTTTGCCTTAAATTTTTATTTCAACGTTACATTCAAATTCTATGCAAATTAGTCAAGTGCTCTCAATCAAAGGTAAATATGACTTTTTGTCTTTCTAAAATACATTTCCTCAAGCAAGTTTATATATAAACCTCTGCATTACAACGACTCATCTGAACGCAACGAAATGATTTTTTTGTTATCCTTGGAAGTGTACAAACATGAATAGAAGAATGGATAAAGAAAATTTGAAAATCTGACCGAGGGAACATAATTGGCTATTTTTAAAAATTCAAATGGACGATTGGCTAAAAGCAAAATTCAATGAGATAACTGGCTACTTTTACCACATTTTTATTTTATTTTATTTTATATTTTTTGCTATAGGGCCTCCGTTTTCTAGAGATCCACATCCTAACATCGCAATAACTTTAATTTGGTGGCCCAAAAATAACGACCCGATCCAGAAGCCCTTTCCTCTCACGGTGCCCTGATTTAAAACGACGTGTTGGCTCTGGAGTCATCATAGCCATAGCCACCAACAACATCGCTGCCGTAAAAAACTCAATCATTATTTGAGGGATCAATGATAATAGATTTTTATGGGACATTTTTGATGTGGTCCCTAACTTTCAATATTCTTTTATTGAAACCTTGTTAGTTTTTAGTTTTTTATTGAGGTCCCTGACATTAATATAATAATGTAAGTTACTATATTTTTAAATTAAAAATTAAAAATTGAAATTTGTAATTGTTTATATTAATGAGATTTTAAATAAAACCCATAATTTATGGGATTAAAAATAATAAAATATAAATTATACTCTCTATTATATTGTGTGTGTGTGTGTACATATATGTATGGGTACATTAACCAAAACATGGATACATTCTCAAATCAACGAAAAAGAATGTACCCATATAAGTTTAAACATGGATTAAAAAATTTGAATGGATTTTATATTTAAAAAAGGATACATTTAAGATTTAAAAAATTGAAAAATTATATGAATGGGTACATTTAAGATTAAAAATTTGAGAATCTTTTTATATATAAAAAAAAACTAATAGGTACAAACTTAATTTAATTTAATTTTTTTTTATTTTGGAAATGTTTGAATTGAAAATTAATTAGAAGTTTAATAGAGGTGTCAGTATTAAACCCTAAATTAATTACTAATTTTTATATTAAAAATTATATAATAAACATGTAAATTCAGTATCACATTAATGATAAGGACTTGAATCAAAATTTGATAACTAATAAGGTCTTAGTCAATGAACAGTAAAAATTAGGGACCGGATACTAATTTTTCCGATTTTTAATTGAATGATCATTACTCCAATTTGATTAAAATTAAAGGACCATTACTACAATTCACTCTTATTTTTGGAAACAAAATCTACTTGTTTATTTTTGGGAAACAAAAATCTACTTCTTATATACAAACCTACATTTTCTTTATTGTTTTTGTCATTTCAATTTATGTATTTTTTTTTGTTTCTTGATGATTTTAGTTTTTATGTTTGAATGGTCGTTGGATATAGGAATTTATAAGGAAAGGTGTTGATGCACAAACCGGAGGTCTTGGAACAACGTAAATCCGACCGTGAATCTGCAAGAAAGTAAATAACACAAGATGTATCGTGGTTCACCCCAATGTTTGGGCTACGTCCACACTAATATTGTATGTTTGTGAGAGGATGAGAGGGTGAGAGCTTCTGAGGGTGAGAAAGTTATTCCCATGGCCAAAGAATTGGCCTCCCCTAATGAGGAGAGTGAGAAGTCATTTTATAGAATAAGGGTTCCTCATTTATTACATATTTGCGCCTTCATTTATTACATAATTACATTTGAGTCCCCCGAGTATTTATACAAGGTCTAAATACGGATGCCCTAAGTATGGTATAAACAGTAGTCCCCAAAGTCTTCAGTCAAGAGAGTCTTTTGGCTGGAGAATTGAAATTCAGTCCATGTGTGGGCCAAAGTAACTAGATGTCGTCTAGAACTGATACTCGATATGAGGTGGGGCTCAATCTGAAATGATACTCAACTAGTAGTAGCACATGTTGCGAGGCTGCTCTGCTTGTGGCTTATGTTGCCTTGGATGGCTCGGCTTGTGGCGTTGAAGGTGAGGGAGTCCCTTTTATAAAATAAGGGCTCGCTCCTCAATACATAAATGATGGGCTAGAGTTGATGCTCGCGGTGAGGCGGTTGCTCAATAGGCAGCGATACTCTCTAATGATGGTAAGGGAGTCCCTTTTATAGAATAAGGGCTCGCTCCCCAGTACATGAATAATAGGTTATGAGTGATGCTCGCGGCGAGGCAGTTGCTCAGCTGGCGGCGATGCTCTCTAATAAAGGTGAAGGAGTCCATTTTATAAAATAAGGGTTCGCTCCTCAGTACATGAATAATGGATGCTCTCTAATGAAAGTGAGAGAGTCCCTTTTATAAAATAAGGGTTCGCTCCTCAATACATAAATAATGGGCTAAGTCCCCCAAGTATTTGGAAGGAACAAAATTCGGGATTCATATTTGGGGTTGCTGAATTCAAAAATTGGGGAATTTGGGATTTGATTTTTGTTTCTGGGGATTTTATATGAAATTGGAGTGAGAAAATGTGTGATGAGAGAGAAAGAGGAGAGAGAGAGTTTAAGAGCAGGGAATCCCACTGAATTTCTCTCTCTGTCACGCCTTTTTATTTTCTGTTTAGTTTTTTCTCTGATGAATCCTTGCTAATTTTGGAAGACAGAAAGAGGGGGAGATGTGACTGGTTTCTTGGGTTTTTGTGATCTTGCAGATTCACGGCGGAGGTGAAAAAATGAAAGAGAACCGACACAACTTTTCGTATCGTTTCCCACAGACGACGCCAAATGTTGATGCACAAAACCGGAGGTTTTGGAACAACGTAAATCCGACCGTGAATCTGCAAGAAAGTAAATAACACAAAATGTATCGTGGTTCACCCCAATGTTTGGGCTACGTCCATACTGATATTGTATTTCTCTGTTTGTGAGATGATGAGAGGGTGAGAGCTTCTGAGGGTGAGGGAGCTCTTCCCATGGCCTAAGAATTGGCCTCCCCTAATGAGGAGAGTGAGGGGGAGATGGAAACACGCCTTATTTTAACTTTTAGTAGAATTTTGTTTTGTCTTTTGGATGTTTTGACTGGAAGCTTCAGATCTAAGATGGGGCACACATAGCCGTTCTCTCCCTTCCATATCAAAACCCTGGATTTAAAAACTCTATAGCCGCCTATCTCTTGTTTCGACTTACGTGAAACATATTCGTTAAGGTAACAATATTGTAGATCTATCTACAACGTCTTGTATAGAAATTAAAACATGTGGAGGGGGTTTTTTTTTTTTTTTCTTTTTTCGGATGTGACACTGGATCTAAAATCTTTAGAATTACAGATAATGGAAGGTCTCCGTGGGGTCTTTATGTACACTGGTCAATGTGGAGACTTCCGAATCCACTTTCTGTCACTACATCCTACATTGTTTGTCTGGTTGTTCTACAGTGGGATTCCTGTTTGTGTTGTAGATACTTGTAAACCCTGTTGCTACTGAGAGCTGTCCCGATTGTATTATGATTTGTGCTTGCATGTCTACCCAACTATCTATATTGATTGCCCTCACCTCTGCTTGATTTCTTGGAAGTATAATGTCAAAAGAGCTGTAAGAATTTCACCTGCATGTAGCCCATTGCAAAAGACACAACTATATATGTAGACAAACTTTCTCATCAGTTATAGAACACGAAAGGTTTCCTAATTTCCCAACGAGAGATTCGCACTCCACCAAGTTACCAAAACATAGTCAAGCTTTATCTCACATCTCTTCATTTCATTTATATGTGTAACTGGGATATGTGGAGAGGCACCTGAAAGATTGAGCTATCAAATTTTTAGTGAGTGAAAACCACCTCTACTTGAATAAATTGTTTTTAATGTGATGTGAGAATAAACAGCTATAAAATAAAGTTGTCGAGTGTTTGGTAAACTTTTTTTGTAAAAGAGCTTTTCGAAGGATGTGAAGTTGCTCCAACGGTATGGAATTTTCGAAAAAAACAACCTACAAAAAAAAAAACAAAAAAAAAAAAAGCTACCACTTCATCTATCAGAGGATCAAAATGATCTGCAGTCCAGCTCCAAAGGTAAACCACAACACCACCGAAGGCATCTGGCATTATTCTTACAAAAGTTTGCTCCATTGTGATTGTTTGTTGCAGGCTTCGGACCTCGCGGAGGAGCCAATGGATTTGGAAGAAATTGAATGGGTAGTAGTGGAAAGTGAGGCTGAAATTAAAAGTGAAGGAGATGGTGAAGAATATGATGTAAGTGATTCTCAACTCCCCAACCAAAGGGAAGTAACCATTCGATGCTCCCGGCCCCTCTGAATTAAACTATATATGGTTCAAGAATATAATTAACTTTCTCCCCATTATATAAGAGTGCCTGTGTCACTATATGATAATATATAACTTGCAAGCCTCAAATTCTGCCAACAGAGGAAGTCTTGAATATCTGGTAAGCTTTCCTTGCACATATTTGTTTATTATTAAAGTCTTGATTATGAGGAAAACTAGGACTTTAGACGATGTTATAAGGTATAATTATTTGTTTAGACTATTAAATTCTTGCATGCTAAAAATTGAACAAGTAAAGGAAGACAATAATTGGATTTCAAATAATTGTGAATTGCTCGTCGTTAGGAGATGACTTGGGTGAGATTTAATTTAAATTGTGTTTTTGTATCAATTACATGATTTAGATTGTTTTCGAACATTCAAATACAAATATAGGAATTTTCATTGTGAGTTTGTGGGGTTTGTCTTCTTGCTTCTGCTCATTTTTTGTGTGTGTATACATGGATCCTCTAACTTCAGCCTGGCAGAGAAGAATTGCATAACAATTCAATTACGTTATAAGAAGTTGATCAATTAGGTTCTCTTCAAAAAAGGCTTAAATGTCAAAATGGTCCTTATATTTCATCTTATCGGTCAATTTGTCTCCGTGTTTATCTCTGTTAACCATTTATGGACAATTTGTTAAACATGGGGACCAATTTGGCTAAATTGAAAACATGGGGACCAAATTGACTGATAGAGTAAACACATGGACCAATTTAACATTTAAGCCAAAAAAATATACAAAATCGTTTTACTATTTTCCTTAGACTTTGGATGTAGATTGAATAAATTCCCTTTGATGCTTTGGTTTGAATTGTTGTGTTCATATAATTAAGTTTAAGGTAATTTTAGAATTGGGGTTTTATTCAAATTGCTTTTTACCTTTGTTTTGTTTGAATTCACTGCCTACTTCTGCAAAATGGATTACAACAATAATCGTGTTGCCACTTTGATGCATTAGTTGAACTGATTTGAATGGCTATTGGTTAACTTTATCAACATTTTTATTGAAAATTACCTTCCCCTCACATGTTAGTAAGTTGACATTTGGGATTCCATTTGTCCTTTTGTTGACAACAACCCTCTCCGTAAATAAGAATTTGTTCATGCCTACTCGCACTAGCTAAAGCCTTCATCTGCTGACATCAAATTGCAATTTGTGAGTTGGGATTTTCAATTCTATTAAGCCAAGTCATTCCTAAATCATATTGATTGAGCATTTGTTTTGTTTGCTGTCATGATGCGTGGTGCATAACATTACTATGGATCGTTGGAATTTTACAATTTTATGGAATTGATAGCTTGATTCAGTTACGGTGTGAATAAGAATGATTTTTACGCAAGTTTTTGTCAAGTTAAATACACCCAAGAGAAAAAAAAAGTTTCTACTTCATCTATCAGAGGATCAGAATGATCTGCAGTCATATTTTCTAACGTTCAGCTCCATAGGAAAACCACACCACCTCCGAAGGCATCTGGCGAGGTTTTTTTATTCTTGCAAAAGTTTGCTCCATGTGATTGTTTGTTGCAGGCTTCGGACCCCGTGGAGGAGCCAATGGATCTGGAAGAAATTGAATCAGTAGGAAATGGTGAAGAATATGATGTAAGTGATTCTTATCTCCTAGACAGTAAACGTAGGGTTTCGGAGCACTTCAAACTGTAGGCGGTTTCATATGAATATTTAGTAGCAATATTCTGTTAGACTTAATTAACTAAACAAGATTAAACATGAATCACAATCTAATAAGAACCAACCAATATTGTCTATGAGATAACTTAACAAGAATGGCATACCTGCAGAAGTCCCTGATCTAGAAACCATGGTGCTGAACTTTCTCTTCTCTCGCAAATGATCAAGAACTCGACTTACAAATAGGTTTAAGCCCCAATATGAGCGTGTGTTATGTGAGAAGAGAGGTCATCATATATATATATATATATACACACACACACACACACACACACACATACACACACATATAGTATTTTCCATAACAGATAGGATTCCCTATTAAAATCCCTATAGGAAATAAATACTTGTCTCCTTGTTCCATAAGAACTGATCTCATGGCATGTTTACGAAACGAGAATGAGGTAAGTGGAATCGGAATTGCATTCCTTCAAATGCATTCATGTGTTTACTTGTATATAGGGAATGAAAACAAAGGTGGGGTCCACCCAAAATGGAGAATTCAATTCCAGATTTGCCTGGAATCCAATTACCAAGATATAGGTGGTAATTGAATTCCATAAGAAAGGGTCCATCAGTAATCAAACTTTTCTTCCTAAAGTGCCCTTGTACTTCTTTTTATATCCCAAAACACCCATGCAGCTTCAACACACTTACTTCTCTCTCAGTGGACTCCTTGCAACTTCTTCTCCAATTTCTCTTCGTTCCGTGACTTGGGACTGGAGCTTTCAAGGTCCATCTTCCTCCTTGCCTTCAATCAACTATTGTTTATCCCAAACCCGATTCATGTCCCTATTCTTATATATTCTCATTTCAACTCTTCGATTCGCTGACTCCATGGTTAAAAACTCATTCATTGCCGCAACTAGGAAACTCAAATTTGGGGTAAAAAAATTAAGGCTGGGACATGGAGGGAGGGAGCATGAAAGGTTCTTCGCAAACGTGGGGTGGGTTGGCAGCAGAGAAAGATATTTTAGAAAGGGGTAGGTCGGCAATACGTCGGCAGCAGAGAACGATGGGGAAATTTTAGAAATGGGTAGATTGGGAAAGATGGGGAAGAGAGGGAGAGATGGAGGATCACAAAAAAAATTGGAAAAATGAAAGAATGAGAAGAAGAGTTTCTGGGAAATTGAAGTTGTAGAGTTTCTAGAGGGTTTTTGAAAGCGTGAATGAGAAGAAGAAATACTAATAAATAAATAAATGAAAGATAAAAGTTTAAAAATAATTAGCATAGAAAATAGATTAGTTAAACTAGGGGTATTTTAGTAATCACATTAGTTTCATTCCGTTTCAAGTGAATTAGTAAACAGTTTATATAGATCAATGTCATTCTTACTTCGATTCCAGACAGTTTTAGTAAACAACTTCAACAGTAATCTGATTCTGATTCCACCTCATTCCAATTCCTCCTCAATTCAATTCATTCTCAATTCAATTCCTCTCAATCTGATTACGGATTAGTAAATGTGCCCTCAATGCTATACAAAATCCTTCTTTGTCAGGGATCATCATTCTTCTTATTAACAAGACTTTTCTTCAAACTGAATATATATAGCCGATCCCAAAACTAATATACCTCATACTCATATTCTTACATTCTCCCACTTGAGTATGAGAATAGTTTCAAGTACTCAGCTTATTCAATTGTTTTTAGATAGAAGTGATCACTAAGTCTATTAACAAAAGTGCCCAATCACAATCAATTCATATACATCTCAAAATGTAGAACTCTGTAACTTTATTGCAACCATAATGCAAAACATCTTTCAAGAATTACATACATTCAATTTGTATCTTTAACATTGTGAACTTCATCAATATCATAAGTAGCATGAAACATTTATTGGATACAGTTTCTTCTCATTTGGATTATAAATTCAAGCCCCAGCTTTACATCCCCAAACATAAAAATGATCAAAGCTAGGCTTTCTTTCACTCCAGATTTTGAAAGGTGTTAATGAAACTGCTTTACAAGGAACTCGATTCAGTATATAAGTTGTTGTCTTCAATGCTTCTCCCCATATAAATCTAGGCAATTTTGACCTTGTCATCATACTCCTTACCATTCCAATCAAGGTTCTAATTCTCCTCCCTAAAACTCCATTTTGTTGTGGTGTTCCAGGTGTGGTGTATTGAGCCACAATGCATTGTTATTCAAGATAAAGAGCAAAAAGACCCTTGTGTTGTCCAACCTCAGTGTACCTGCCAAAGTACTCCCCTCCTTTATCCGATCTAACAATCTTAATGATCTTTCCTAATTGTTTTTTTACTTCAGTTTTATAAATTTTGAAACAATCAAGGACATATGACTTCTCACTAATTAAATAAGTGTAACAAAATCTTGAGAAGTCATCAATGAAGTTAACAAAATAAGATTTACCACATGGTTTTAATTGAAAAAGGACGATAAATGTCAGTGTGTATAATTTCCAGCAAATCATGACTTCTTTTAGCATCCAATTTCCTAAAATTAGTCATTTTTCCCTTGACACAATCAACACACTCAGTTGCAGTAGCAAAATTCAATTCAGGAATTAACTTAGCTTTGGACAGCTTTAAAACTCTTTCTTTGAATATGTGTCCTAACCTTTTGTGTCAAAGTATGAAGGAATCACCATTGCAGTGCATCCTCTTAGTGCTTATGTTTAAAACTTGTTGGTTATTAGACTCCAAAGTACAATTTAAACACCACAAGTTGTCACTCAAGTATGCAGTTCCCAAAACACAATCTTGGCGGTTCTTTTCAAAAAAATTTAAACACTCAACATCACCTAGAAAAACAAAACCATTTTTGGCAATTTTAGAAGCAGAGATCAAATTACTCCTCATCTTTGCCACATAAAGCACATCATTTAATTTTAGTATAAAACCAGAAGACAATCTTAAGCTTACCATTCCAATAGCTTCTACTGCAACCTTAGTTCCTTCACCTACAAAGATATTATAGTTCTTAAAACCAGTTTGTTTTGATGTCATAAAACCTCTAAAGAATTTGTAATGTGGACTGAGCAACCAGTATCAAACCACCAAGAATTCACAGGAATTTCAATCAAATTTGACTCGACACAAACATTAACTTGTTCTGCACCCTTACTTTTAAGATAGTCCTGGAAAACTTGATAATCTTTCCTTCAGTGTCTTCTAGTTTTGCGAAAAAACATCTAAGTTTAGCAATATTTTTCGTTTTAACCCTAAGATTGTTAGATCCCTTAATAGAGTCATTTACTTTAGCAGATACATTTGACTTAAAAAGGTCAGCTTGGTATTGGAATTTTTACCAGAGTGTTCAGAGAATGAATTGATTGCCTTTTTCCCCTTATCTGGTTGCACAAAATTCACCGTTTCTGCATCCTTTCCTCTTTCTTGCTTTTGTCTAGTCTCCTCTTGAACACATTGTGCTATTAGCTCATTGACATCTCATTTATTGTCTTGAGTATTATACGACACCTTTAACTGACTGTATTTGCTTGGAAAAGCTTGAAGGATACCATTTGTTTCTCACCAATGTTGACATCTAGAGAATTCAACTTCTCAGTTGCATTAGTCATTCTCATGATGTGGTCTCTGATGGAACCAGTGCCTTCAATTTTGTATATGGTAAGCATTGCCATGTATTGACTGATTTCTGCCTTTTGAGACTCTTTGAACTTCTTCTCAATTGCTTTCAAATGGTCAATAGCCAATTCATGCTTCTTGATCCCACCTCGAACAATATCAATCATGGCACTTTCAAGTATGGAAAGTGCCACTTTGTTAGCTCTGATCCATCTCTCTGCATCAGCTTTCTCAGCCCTAGTGCTTTGATCAGTCAAAACTGGCTTGGGAATGTCAAGTGCTATGTCAAATTCATTAAGTATCAACAAGAGACCAATCTCTCGTCTCCACTTCTTGTAGTTGCTTCCCCCTGTGAGAATGGAAATGTTAGCCAAGTTCATAGTTCTTAATGATATTGCAAATGCTGTAGAAGTCATGAAATCACAAAAATGAACTTATTAGTTCCTGATTTCATTTCAACATCCTTTTGCACATCATGACTTTAATCACAAACTCATATAGTCTTAACAACAATTTGTTGATAAGCATATATAGAATAAATGATATAACAAGAACTCAGTCAACATGCTGCAGTAATCATGTATCCTCAGACACCGGATGAATTAATGGTGTCTCATACATGTGATATATAATGAACAGATTCAAAAGTTATCAAAGTTAAATCAAAATCCAAAATTTGTATTCAAAACTGATATCCTTAATATGTTTCTCACTGCAGCAATTCTCTGTAGCAATTTATTAATACAAACTGCAGCAGCAAAGCATTTTCATATGCACTAAAACATACACAGGTATTTGAGAAAATCAAAAGCAATTAACATACCTTTTAATCACTGATTTCAATTTCACGAAGAGAATAGCGGAAGCGATTTAGAATTTGAAAACAGAAGGTTTTATTGCTTAAAGGAAAAACCCAGATCGTTATTCATGAAGAGAATTAAAACTAACTCTAATATGCGAAAACCCTCATTCGGCAATGGTTTAGGGGTTCCAAGGGTCAAATTTTCAGTTTAATCTTATAAAGCCGTTATTTTGTCGTTTTCCTCCACTGTTTCTTTTACAATCACCAGAACCAGACTTCGATTCTCCACGAGGGCAAGAGTTAATTTTTTTTTTTATTAGAATGAAAACACAAACGTTTGATCTAAACTCATGTTTATATGTCTTGTGGCTCTGATACCACATGTTAGACTTAATTAACTAAACAAGATTAAACATGAAGCACAATCTAATATAAGAACCAACCAATATTGTCTATGAGATAACTTAAGAAGAATGGCATACCTGTAGAAGTCCCTGAACTAGAAGCCATGGTGCCGAACTTTCAGTGAACCTTCTCTTCTCTCGCAGATGATCAAGAACTCGACTTACAAATAGGTTTAAGTCCCAATATGAGCGTGTGTTCTATGAGAAGAGATGCCACCATATATATACATATAGTCTTTTCCATAACAGATAGGATTCCCTATTAAAATCCCTATAGGAAACAAATACTTGTTTCTTTGTTCCATAAGAACTGATCTCAATGCAGTACAAAATCCTTCTTTGTCAAGGATCAGCATTCCTCTTATTAACAAGACTTTTCTATCAAACTGAATACATATAGCCGATCCCAAAACTACTCTACCTCATACTCGATCCCAAAACTACTCTACCTCATACTCATATTCTTACATATTCGACAAGAACTCCGAAGGCATCTGATGGGGTTTTTTTTGTTTCTTTCTTACAAAAGTTTGCTCCAAGTATCTTAGTTGAATGTGTGCCTAATGAAATATTTGAATCAATGCAGATAACGATCTCAGGAGGTAAAATGGAAGGAGTCCATGAAGCTCCACATTACATAGAAAACCCCAAGGATCCATTACAAGAGGAGTTGGATAACTTGTCAACCCTGTCCCCTTCGCGGTGTATCTATAGAGTTCCTAATCGACTGCGGCGGGTAAATGAGAAAGCATATACACCTCAAGTAGTCTCTATAGGCCCACTTCACCATGGCAAGGAACATTTAAAAGCCATGGAAGAACACAAAAAAAGGTACCTGCGACATTTCTAAGCCGAACCAGGGAAAGGGTAAGCTTCTCTGATTATATACAAATGATAAAGGACCAAGAGGGAAGGTTGCGAGGTTCTTATGCAGAACCCATTGAGTTTGGCAGTGAGCAATTCGTAAGAATTGTTTTAGTGGATGCCGCCTTCGTCATTGAGTTCTTATTGAGGTGCCGTGACTCACATTGTGAAGGTGATGATTACATATTTAACAACCCTATGATGAGATGGGATGTGCGTCCAGATTTGGGGTTGCTTGAAAACCAGCTGCCATTCTTCATTCTTCAGGTTCTTTTTAACACACTTTCTTCTTCTGCACATCCACGGCCTTCGTTACTCGAAATTTCCTACTACTTTTTTGTAAGCCAAGTTGTTAGAAAGGGAAAAGAAGAGGCTTTTTATGAAAAATATTATACTGAAGTAGAAGTACAACATTTTGTTGATCTGATAAGAATTCTATACCGACCGTTGAAATCAAAAACTAGAAGGGAGCTTAAAACGACAGCCGTACCCAATGCGGCAGAGCTACTCCAGGCTGGAGTCAAGTTTACGGTCGGAAAAGGCAGCAATATATTTGACATAAAATTCTCGGATGGTATCCTCGAAATTCCGACGTTAATAGTAGCCGATACCACAGATCTGGCAATCAGAAATCTCCTTGCTTTTGAACAATGCCATAAGAGAGGGGAGGATTGCCTAACTAGTTATGTTTTCCTCATGAAGCGTCTTGCGAAAACCCCAAAGGATGTGGAATTGCTTGTTGAGCATGGAATTATTGAAAATTGGCTAGGCAGTACCAAGAAGATATCTACTTTGCTTCATGACCTTGGCACTGGGATGATATTAGACCACTACTGTTATGCCCCTCTTTGTGAAAACCTCAACAGCTACTGCAGAACTCGCAGGCACAAATGGATGGCAAATTTGAGACAAAATTATTTTAACACGCCTTGGTCCATTATTTCTGTTGTTGCAGCTGTTATTCTCCTCTTACTCACTTTCATACAAACTGTGTGCACTGTTATATCTGTTGCTTAAGCATAAACGACCGCAAGTCTCTCCTTCTCCGGAGGATCCACAAGTCTCTGCTTCTCCGGAGGATCCGGAAGTCTCTCCTTTGCCGTATCCTCCGCACCCTTAGAAGTCTAGCCTAGTCTTTGAGACGGTACAGAGTTTGCATTAGCAATCTCAGGTTTCCTTGAAGTGAGTGTAATAGATGTTCCAACAAAATAAAGGTTTGAAGAGTGTGATTTTATACTTGATAGGGAAGTGGCTAATTGTAATGACTTTCATTGAAGTATGTGTTGTAAATAAAGGGAAGTGATTTCCGCAGGCTTTTTTCTCATCTGCACTTTTATATTTTCGGGCGTTTAGATTCAATAAACCTTGTATTTTTAAAACCAAAGCAATATTATTCAACAAATTATTGTGTTACACAGATGCATGTTGGAGATGAAACTCCAAACAAGGAACAACCTCCTCCAGTACATGCTCACAATGTTTATTCAAAATATAATATGAAATGAATCAATATCCTTGTGTTGAAAAAAGCTAAACAGTAGCAATGGCATACGGGGCCAGAGCTAATATTTTTGCAGAAACCTCCTTTCTCACAATCTGCAACGCAGAATTTCCAGCACTTTCCATATTTTTCAACGTTGTCATCTTCACCAGGCACACATTTTCCTAGCTCGGGGTGATTATCACAGCACCTTGAAGCTTGAGCAATTGAAATCTTGCAAACTGAAATCACAATCAAATTACTAATTAATTAAAAATTGATTAATTATTGAAAAAACATGGAAAATGCAAGAAAGTGACACGAGCAAATAAAAACCAAAATTTAAAAAAATCTTAGAAATCAATTACTGCAAAACCTAGTACTATTGATACAAGATTAGGAAAAAAACATTAAAAAAAAAGATGCCAAAAGCTTGCATGGATGTTTAGACCATATGAAACAGAAATATATTGTAGGTTATTTTAGTCATAGAAAGCAAAAAGGCTACCCAAAAATAAATATGATTCAAGATAATTGAAACAGACCTGTGGAGCTTGACAAAAGCACCAACACAAGGAGGAAAGATGTGATTGTAAACTTATTCATCTTTTCCTTGTAAATTTTCACTTCTCTTGTGTATTGCTCTTTCACTTGTTGCGTTGAATTGTTTGAGAGAATGTGTAATTTATAGAGACTCGAAGACAAAAATGATCTTTGGGTATTAAAACATACATATATAGGTTATGATGAGGCAGATTGTCTGCCCTCCTATTTGGGTGCCCTTCCCATCCCCTTCTATTTTGTGCTGTCACGATTAAGCCACGTCAATATTTATATTAATTTTTTTTATAGAAATAATAAGACAAAAAATAATAATAATATAAAATGCTGACGTGGTTTAACAGTGACAGCACAAATATGAGGGGATGGGAAGGGCACCCAAACAGAAGGGCAGACAATCTGCCTCCTTAGAGATATTATTTGAAACAGTACACGCACAAGATCATCAAAAAAAAAAAATTGACCAAGGTTACGAATGTACCAATAATTCCAACCATTTAAAGACATTACTTAAACCCAGACTTTCTTGTTTTTCTCCTTAATTTTTTATTTCAACGTTACATTCAAATCCTGTGCAAATTAGTCAAATACCCGAGCCCAATTCTCTCTCAATCAAAGGTAAATATGACTTTTTGTCTTTCTAAAATACATTTCCTCAAGCAAGTTTGATCTATAAACCTCTGCATTACAACAACTCATCTGAGTTCAACGAAATGATTTTTTTGTTATCCTTGGAAGTGTACAAACATGAATAGAAGAATGGATAAAGAAATTTTGAAAATCTGACCGAGGGAACATAATTGGCTATTTTTAAAAACTCAAATGGACGATTGGCTAAAAGCAAAATTCAATGAGATAACTGGCTACTTTTACCTCTTTTTATTTTATTTTATATTTTTTGCTATAGGGCCTCCGTTTTCTAGAGATCCACATCCTAACATCACAATAGCTTTAATTTGGTGGCCCAAAAATAACGACCAGATCCAGAAGCCCTTTCCTCTCACGGTGCCCCGATTTAAAACGACGTGTCGGCTCTGGAGTCATCATAGCCATAGCCACCAACAGCATCGCTGCCGTCAAAAAACTCAAACCATTATTTCCGAAACTCAGTCTTGAGAGAGAGAAGGCAAAAATGGCGTCGTTGCTGAAATCTTTGGTGGATCCAAGGACGAACTGGTTCGCCCGCCAGCACATGAAGGCCGTCTCCCAGCGCCTCCGCCATTACGGTACACCTCCTCTTTCCCAAACCCTAATCTCTCTCTCTCTGTATGTATATGTATCTCGGTGTATGTATAGGCCGATTTGGTTTCATTTGATTTGATTTGTGCTAAAATTGGTAATGGAAATTAGGGCTTCGATACGATGATCTGTACGATCCCTACTACGATTTGGACATCAAGGAGGCTCTGAGTCGTCTGCCGAGGGAGATTGTGGACGCTCGTAACCAGCGTCTCAAGCGCGCCATGGACCTCTCCATGAAGCACGAGTACCTCCCCGACCATCTTCAGGTGCCTTTTTCTTTTACCTCATATCATTTCTGTATCACTTTGCTTTCCAAATCTAATCCCTGATTTAATTCATAGGGATTTGTGGTGTGTGGAATTTGACTACAATTTTGCATTTTATGATTGATATTGGATTAGTATGACTGAGAACTTAATCATGAATGATATAATGTTAATTGGAATCAAAGGTTTTGCCTTTCTAATTCATATGTCATACAATTCTACAAGATTTTTTGTGAAATCGTAGTAGCATGTGTAGAATGTTGTGATTGGCTCATATTTTAAGCTGGCAACAATGAAGTGACCCATGTGTTTTCAGCAGTGGATGATTTGTGCAATTGTGCATGCTTTGCATTTAGTGGAAAAATAATGTGGTGCACTTTCGGATAAATAGTGGAAGACATGTTTGGGATTCTTTCCACTTTGTCCTTGTTTTGGTTTCCCATTGGAATGCCACGTGAGTGGCTTTGAGTTTGGTCAAAAGGCAAAGCAGAAAGTAGGAGCATCATGATGCATCATGATTATGTTTGTAAAGGAAGGAAAGTTTATTTTTTTTTCTTTGTTTAAAGGCAGAAGCAGGGCATTAGAGAGGCAGAGAGCATTCGGCTCTCTCCTGAGAAGGCATCAGAAAAACATCCAAGGTGGACAGAGCATTCGGCTCTTCCATGGGAAAGGTTGAACATGGGTTGAGAGAAAATCAAGACAGCTAGAGTGAAAAGTATTCTAGTGAAAGAACTCTTGGGGTAGAGTGAGGCTCTTGGGAAAATTCTATGAGTGGGTGTACAAGGGATTTGGGATTGGGTTATGTCGATTTAACTCATGTGTACTTGTACTGTTATTCTCATAGTGAAGAGCAATATCTCTCCGGGGACGTAGGCAGGTTTTTGCCGAACCTCGTAAATTTCTCGGTGTCTCTATTTCTTGTATTTTATTCTGTTCAACTGAGTGTGATTTTGGTGAGGTTGTAATCTGAATCTCGTTTCCGCACTGACGAACGGGCCAAGGCACAACAGGTTTTGCCTTTCTAATTCATATGTCATACAATTCTACAAGATTTTTTGTGAAATCGTAGTAGCATGTGTAGAATGTTGTGTTTGAATGTGTTGTTCGGTGCATATTGTAGCAGAAAATTGAGTTTGAATGTGTTGTTCGTATTGTTGGCGCCGATATTCAGCATATTGTAACCACGCATATATTTATGTAATATTAAAATGGCATTGTAAACACTTGCCTTTGTTTTGCTATTTGCAGGCACAGCAAACACCATTCAGGAGCTACCTTCAGGAAATGCTGACTCTGGTAAGTAACGTTTGTTTTCTTCTTTACTACGGTTGTTTCTTGGGTGTTTCAGTTTGTGTTTGTGTCGTCAACTATGAAGCTTCTATATACCAACCTGTTTGAGTTTTTAACTAAAACATTGAAGATTTCCGGTGACTGTTTATTTTTTAGAACAGTTTATGGGAAGATATGTTTACATGTAAGGTTTTTTGGAATATCTTTATTGCTAATTTGCTACATGTGTGTAATTTGGGATGGGAAAAACGTCAATTTTCCTTTTTGTTATGGTCTCTGTTCTCTGGCAATCCGTGAACAGAAGATATAGAATAACCAATATAGAGAAGAGCGTGAGGCTTTGGATGTTCTACCGAATTAGAAAAAACAATCTATGATTTTGCACACGTATGACATGTTGGGTACATAATTTGTCATTAACTGCTAAATTATGCTTATGTTTGCAGGTGAAGAAGGAAAGCGCAGAGCGTGAGTCTTTGGGAGCTTTGCCACTCTATCAGCGCACCATTCCATAAGCATGCTATTGCCTCTTTAACTATTTTTTTTTTTGTTGGAATGAATCTTGGGATGAAATGATAGCATTGTTTCTGGTATATGTTTCCACACCTGAACGGAGATTGTGTTCTGTTCTAGAAGCTTTTCCAAATTGTTGCCATTTGAGATTCGAAGTTGGAACTTCCTTGATGGTTATCATATTCTGGAAGTCTGTTTTCCAATAATAATGTGCGATCCAACTTTCAACTTTAATACGTTTGATTGCAATAAGCTGCTTTCTCTACAAGTGTTCTTGAATTCTTTCTATGCTGCTCGTTTGTTACCTTCTATTCATGTTCCGAGTAAAATCTCTATGATTGGATCAAAAATCGATTTGAGTTCTGCAATTTCTCACAGTACTTGTGTTTTGGATCTTTATGGGCACCAAGAATGGTTGCCTACCTTTTGTTGTCCTATATTATTTGTGAAGCCTGTAGAAATATGTTCTTGCAAGGTTATTGTTGGCTATGAGATGTAGTGGAAGGACGACTTACATGGCACAGGGTCATGATGATGGTATACTTGCGTTATGTAAGTTGCTCTGTACTAGAGCGGTTGTGAAATGTGGATGTGGATGTGGATTCCTTAAAATTTTATAGTTTAAAACTGTGTAATACATTTAACTTTAATTTGCCAAGAATGATAGTTTTGTAATTAAATAATTTTTTTTCAGTTACAGTTATTATATTTTCGTCATGAGTATTTCGGTTTGTAAATTGTATAATATTATAGATGTTTTCAGC